AAAAAAAAAAAAAAAAAAAAAGAAATAAAAAGAAATAAAAAGAATCAACAAATAAAGAGAAATCGAAGAGATGCCATCGATCGCGTTATATCGGTATTATACTTAGCGAGGAACGGCTGCGAGAACGTCGACGAGCAGCAGGCCCACCACAAATACGAAGACAAGTCTGAAATCATTTAAAAAAAAGGGGGGAAGGGGGGGAGAAAGGAAAAAAATGAAAAAGAACGTCGCGTGAAACTACATGAAGGAAAGCTCGTGTCGGTATGATCGTTTTGTGTGAGTGAGAAAACTTATCGAGACGCAAGAAGAACGAATCTTCAGTGATTTTGTAATATTTCTTATAAGTTGTAGCTGCCATATCCAATAAAATTAAGTACTAGGTGCGCTGGGTGATTATCTGACGACGACTGTTGACGATAACGATTCTAATGGTGATGATGGTGGTGTTGATGATGACATATAATGATGATGATGATGATGATGATGATGATGATTATGATGATCATAATGATCCTACGTGCTCCTGCAAGTGTGTGTCCGCGACTTTGGATGAGTTACACTAAGATGTTGAAAGACGACGGGTCTAAAGAAAACAATAACAAGTTCATTACAATTATGTAATTATAAGTAAGAGAAAGAGACGAAGAGTATTATAACACGTTGTTAATTGAATTAATAAAACTAGCCCAAAGTGTCTAAGTAGCTTTTGTTTCATCACCCTTCTTGTTGATCTCTTAGCCTTTCGCTGCGAAAAACAGTATACAGGATGTTTGGATACATGTTGGATCTCATTGAAGGATTGATAAATAAATTGACAATTGATTATCAATTAATTTTTAATTAATCTTTGATTGATTGATTGATCGACGAATAATATCTAAATGAATTTTGTCTGAAAATTAACTGGCAATTGATTACTTTTTAACAAACTATTGATTGGCTATTGATTGTCCATTGATTATCCATTACTCAGTTACCATTTATTGATTGATCATTGATGGACATTTAGTAATCATTAACTACTCAATTGATTACTCAATAACCACTGACTGGCCACTCTAATTTTCAAACATCAAGCAATCAACATGTATCAAAAAAAAAAAACTATTTTAACCTGTATACCAGAAACATTTATTATTCTGAGAGACATTAATTGTAAAATGAAAATTTAATGCGTGGAATTTTCTAATAATATGTATTACATTTTTAGATTTAACAATAAAACTTGTATTACTCCAAATATTTGATATAATAAAATAATAAATTAAATTATTAGGTATGCGGGAAGTATGTGGAATGTTTTTATAAAATACAATTTAAAATTACAATAGTTTAAAATAATACTTATTGTTTTAGATTATTTTAGATAATAAAGCTTTACTTTAAACATATAATCAAATTTCGGATTAACTATTTTAAGAATAGAAAAATATAATGTGGGATAAAATTTATAAAAAAATTGTTTTAAAAAATAGTTAAACAATAATTATTCACTGACTTCTATAGGCAAATATTTTGAAACATCTGTGTTATTTTACGTACTGCGTAGTACTATATTATAGATAGTTATATAATTGTAAATATTTATAGTTTAAAACGCAATATTCTTAATATAAGAATTAGAAAGAATGTTATTATTAATCATAAAACTATAGTTTTTATTAATATTAAAAATCTTTATATAATTATTAACAGTATTTCAAGCAACGAAAAGTTTAATTAATTAAATTAAAATTATAACGATCTTTATTTGTATATTACAAATATATAAAATTTTAATAAAATTGTTACAAAAAGAAAAATAAAAACCTATGAAAATATAATCATTTATGTTAAATAATAATTAAACAACGGTTATATTGTCTATTTGTAATATTGAAAACATAATATAAAATATTTCTTTCAAATATAATATTATAATATTTAATATTCTTAATAATTTAATGATACAAATATTCTTTTAATGTATATACATATTTTATTCCTATATACAATTGTCCTGATATTGCATAATGTAAGAAAAAATTGTATGTCATCGATAATTTCTTCAATATAAGTGAAAGAACGAATGTATAATTTTCAATAATGAAAATTGTCAAATCAATAATTAAATTTTATTATAAAATTATTATAATTTCAATAATTTAATTTTTTTTACAATTTCATTCATAAATGTATAAAATGTATATTGTTGTCGTTACCACTTATATCACAAAAATTTATCAGATGTTTAAGTACTTAAATCGACCACATAATTTAATCATAATCTATCTATCTAAATCTACTTGAAATCAATCTTAACTTTAAAATATAATATAATAATATTTTAATAGACTAGTACTGTGATCGTCCTTAAAAGTATGACACTCGCTGAATATTACAATATTTGCGCATAATTTTTTTATATTACGCCAATTTTAATACAATTTTTCATAATTATTTCGTATATTATTATATTCACAAGTTTTTAATTAATAAAGAAAATTTACTGAAGGATTTATATAAATCTTCAATATTTCAAAGATGATCATATATTAATACGAGAAAATATGTATTTATTAATAGATACAATATTGCAACACATATGAAAATAAAATTAATACTTTTTATTATTATATTTTAAACAATATAGAATGAATTAATAATTCTAAAGGAAAATATAATACATTTATTACTAAGTATAATAAGATCGTACCTATTTAAACAAATAATGCATAATAAATTTAAATACGTCGATGCTTCCGTTTCAGAGGGTGTTTCCGTGCAGCATTGTTTCTTCTGGCTATTACTGATGGTGGAATCAGCATATCCATTTCGGAAATTTCTGTTTTGTTACACTGATTCTGATCCATAGGGAACATGTACTCCAGATCGATGTCATATCTTCAAATAAAAAAAGGATCAAACAATTAATGGTAATGTAAGAATTTATTTAAAGTATTTGGAATTAATTTTAC